TTTGTGACGAGCTACGACAGAACCACAGAATAATAAACAATCAGAATGCACACTCTACTTGAAAAAATAAGCAAACAAACCAGTGTTGTGCAGTGACATTTTATCTGGTGTAGCATAGATAAATTAATCCGGTTTAATTTATTTACGGCAACTACAGACATAATATTCTCTATTTTATTCGTACTTTTAAAACATGGCTGATTCCGTCTGCGCGAACTTATTTTTTCAATAAGAGTGGGCATTCTGATTGTTTATTATTCTGTGCCTATGTTATATTCAAATCCTGCCACCAAAAATCGTAAAAAATAAATACTTTGTCATATGTCATTGGCGTCACCAACATTAGAATATAATAATTTATAAAATAAACATTAAAACATTCAAAATCAAAATAAAAAACAGTTATGAACTCAGGGTTCAGAGTTCAAATTAAACTAATAAAAACTTCTGGGTGTAGAGTATAGATCCTGCAAAATATAAGCAAATATGGCTTTAAAAGGACTTAAAGTACTAGAATTTTCTGGGTTGTTACCAGTTCCTTATTGTGGTATGGTTCTGGCCGAGTTTGGAGCATCTGTAATTCGAATAGATAGGGTTAATACCTTTTTAATAATGTTTTATCTTTTTTATGGCTATGAGAAACTGCTGCACAGAAATTACAAAATGTTTTCAGGTTCTCACATTGCCAGAATTTATAATTTGTTTCTGGATATAGGCTAGAACCCAATTTGATGAAACTCTTATCTAGTGTCTCAACAAAAGTTGTGTAAAATTTATTATCTAAAAGTCATGGCTATAATTGTTTGTCATTATTCTCTTTACCTTTACAAAAATATGTAGAGTTGGTTCTCTCAATTAAATTTTCCCATACTTTTATCTTGATTGATCCCAATGTTACTATACTTCCCAATACTATATTATAAAAAAAAATTTTTATCAATATTTTGTTTTATTTTCAAATTCCTTTTCAGGCAAGTTTCTGGTATTCTCAAGCAAAACATTAAAACATTTTATTGCCAAATACCCTGGTCTATTTTAAGACCTTTTCAAACACCAATATGCTGGTATCATATTCTGCTTGTGAATAGTATTGTAAACATGCTGATCTTCGTGACTTCTAAAAACATTGATATTCCTCTTAATGGATCGAAGATTTTCTAGAATGTGCCATTGCAGTAAGAATTCCTAATCTTTCATAAGTCTGACAGCAGACCTCCCCCAATCCCAAACCAGCAAGGATCCTTATTGCATTTCTCTGCAAACCAAATACTCTGTGAGTATCAGCTGCATGACCCCAGACAAGGATATCATATGAAAGATGTGGAGTGTACATAGTACATATAGTCTCGAGTGAGATATATTTTGAAAGGTGTTTCAAAATAACGAGACTTTTATTTAGTTTTTTATATAAGTGATTAATATGTAAGCCCCACTGTAGTTTTGGGTCCAAAAGAACTAAAAATCTGCATAGAGTGTATATTTAATCTTATGTTCCATGTTTGGAAGATCATTTATATAAATCACGAATTAAATAGGGCCCAGTATTGAACCCTGAGGTACTCCAATATTTAACACACTCAATTAATTTAATATCAGGAATATTTACAATATAATTTTAATTGAGGTTTTGTAAATATTTGGTGATTATCATGTTGTTTTTGTTTATTATTATTGTTTATGTATTATGAACTCAACATTCCGTTTTTGTCATACTACTGTTACCACTTTTAGGAGAGAAGTCAAACT